GATGCACAGTGGAAAAATCCTGCTTTAGGCTGATTAAATGATCTGGCCTTGGGGGGTGCGACAAAGACAAGTCCCAACAGTTGCAGAGTTGACAATGTCTCCTTTACCCCTAAAAGTGATTTTTTCGGACTGAAGTGCCCCCGGTCAATAGATAAATTACAACATGCCACTACGGCACTACCATGTAATTAAAGGCAACAGTTGACAATATTTGACCTTCCATTGCAGTGCAGAGCTTCGTTCACAGGCCGTGCTTCTAAAATCTATAGATCTGCGTGTGAAATCGTGAGTTCGTGTGAAGTTGTTGGTTTCCTCTATAACTGGCGTGCATTGTTACATGAGATCTCCGTCTATTTTTTTTTCTCCACCGTGATTTAGGGTTAATTAATTAGGTTTTTTTTGTTATTTTGTTATTTATTTTCCGTAATAATATTTTTCGATTTCTGCTTAGGTTGTGAAGTGTACAGCACGAGGTCGACAAAGACACAAAATCACTCAACATATTTGCACATATACCTTCATCCTTATCCAAATCCAATCAAATCTGCCTATAAAAGTAATTAAAATAATCCACCCTAATTACCACATCTATCACCCCAAATCGGGTCCTCAATCACCACATCGACCAGATCTCACCATGGACACACGATCGAACCCCACCAAAACCATGGCAGAGTTCCAATCGATGGTGAGGGATGAAGAGGACGGGACTAGCTGCTGCACCCGGTCTCTCCTCATTGACAACACGACTATTGGTCCGTTTTCTCTTCTCGGCTCCTTTGTATCTTCTTGGTGGTTGACAGAGGGTGATGGTATTGCAGCGGCTGTTCTCCTTGGTGGCCGTTGCGGCTAAAGAGGGACTCACGGCGATGGTCTTCTTAGACACCGATGAGCAGGGATGATGCTCGATGCTTCTGGACGAAGGACGAGGGGACGATTGTTGCTTGCTTGAAACGAAAGAGAACGGCCTCTGCAGATTCGAACGAGGGCTGGGAGCTATTCGAATTTTATCCCGTGCGTAGACCTTTGATTGGCTACTCGTGAAAAACGAACAGAGGTGCGGGATGATAAGGCTGCAATGGAAACTTTTCTTTTTTTTTTTCTACTGCTTGATCAACGATTTCATCTGGATTTGGTGTTTTGTGTGTGTGAATTTTGACACAAAAGTTTAAGTTGATAGCAATAGTTTACGCACCCAGTGAATTGATTATCAGATTGCTGCAAAATACTGATAGTGGTGTGAATAATCAAGAATCATACCATGTTTTTTTTCAACACTTCCGATTTGTAGTTTGCTTAGTTTATGATTAGTATATGTACAGTATATGTAAATCTTAGGGATATGTGCTGTTATTGTACATCTTAGTTTATGATTGGTATATTAGTTATGTACAATTAGTTTGTGAATGGATTTATGTTTTTTCTGTTTTCAATATTTTATGCTTTTATGTATAAAAAAAATAAAAAAATGAAAAAGAAGAAGAAGACATAATTTTTTATGGAAGACATATTTTTCATTGCAACATATACTGCATATATACTAACATAAACGCAATATATACCTACCTGAACAGATGCGTATATTATTATACATGTTTTATCTCTCTCCATTAAAAACGCACAAGCTGCGCGAATTAAGTGAGCTAGTTATTTATTATATGCATGTTTTTTATTTCTCTCTTTTAATCAAGCCTATAAAAAGGGAGGATGGAAGTTGAATGAATATGGTAACTGACGTTAGACATTAATGTAATTATATATTATCTATTAGGTAAAGATATAATTATTTGTTTATAGATTGTATTTTTTTTCAATTTTTTCAGAATCTTGTAGGATAGATGAAAATTTCCTAAAATTTTTCGGTTGCTGATTTGACTTAGCGATTCGTAAGAAGCCCATTCTTAAAAAAAATAACGAGAAAAAGTTTCTTATCAATTTTAAATACTTTGTTAAAAATTATAATGTTATTGATATTTAAAATGCCATCACTTATACGGCATACACATCTTATGTTAAATAATGTTCTTAAACTTATGTCAAATAACTATTTTCTATTAAATTTATCTAATTGATAACTAATTTTGTATTTTAATTAATATTAATAAATAAATTATTTTTTATTATTAATATAAATATAATTATTTATTTATTTTATATATACAGAATATCAAATCAAATCTCATCAAGAAATATTTAATTTGGTACATTATATAACAGAGTTTGATAACAAATAGAAGAGTTATTAACATATAAAATGTATTTACAATTTTAGTTAGTAAAATATTTTATATTTTTAAAGAAAGATTAGGGGAAAAGAACGATTGGGGAAAAAAAATCACATCTCATAAACCACGTCCAGAATACGGTAGAAATTAAATAGGACTTGCCACTTTGCTTATCGAACATAACAATGGAGAACGTATACGTACAAACTTCCAAGTATCGATATTTCTGTCTCTTGCTCCCTTTTTAATTCTTTTTTCGTTTGGGATCTGTAAAATTTTTTGGGTCACCATAGGATATTTGTCAAGTCAAACAGGCATGGCCAAGATGAAAACTGGAGGCATGCGCTTTAAGTGTGATCATTAGCAATTATTACTGTGCTTACATGCTGCTTTGATCGGCCAAAAGTGAAAAAATAAAAATAAAAAAATGATTGATTATGGTTAAAAATTTAATCCTTGTCTTTAGTGTGAAAGTTGTGTAACGTTTATTTTAAATAGATATTTTGCTTATTTCATTTTAAGTGGAGGTGGCTAGAGTTGTCTTGGAACCTGCAACCCAGCCCGAAACCGGCCATGAACGACCCTGTTCTGGGTCTTGGTATATTTTTTTTAACCCATCAGTTCAGGGTCGAAAGACGAGTCGACAATGATTTTTATTTTTCTTATATTTTATTTTATTAAAAAAACGACTGTTCAATGAACCGCTGGTTCGGGCCAGTTCAGTGAACCAGTCCTAACATATAAGCCGGGAGGTTTCGGGCCCGAGTTTTGAGGCTCGGCGACCCAGCGGGCCGGGCCGAGTCGTGAACCAGCCCGGCAATTGGCCATGTCTTATTATAAGTATGGCTATCAAAGTTATTATTATTATTATTCGGTTTTTCTATGGAGCCATCTATTAGTGTTATATACTGAAAGCTTGACTTTGCATATTATTACACATTTGCCCTTTATGAATGAGAATCATGTTAGAACTTCCTAAGAAGAGTCCTTAGGAAAGGTATTATTATCGCTCACTAGTCACCTAAATTCAAAAAGGAATTTTCAGTAGACGTGAGGGTGAGAAGAAAGAAAGTTTTTAGAGACAAACAAGTTCTACGTTCTGTTGTTCTGCACTTAGATGGAGTGGGTCGTTATCGTGCGAACCGAAGATCACTCTATCAGTTACTTGCAAACAAAAATAGTCGTTTACAACCTAGATGGAAATGAACACCCCACCCGAACGGTTGTAATGTCAACTGTACAGTTTGTCTTGACTGATTAGTTGCACTAGTACAATTATGTATTGAACAGGATCCCAGAGAGGAGAATTTCATTTTATACTGATCGTCGTTAATGAACTAGGCCTCGTTTAATTACTATATTCTCTTAACCTGTAAGATATTAAATAGGCAGATATATATAGTATATATTACTTTGATTCACTTGGGTGAGGTTCAGTTCACTGAATTAATATTCCGACTGTTTTAGGTAATTTTACTATATATAGGATGTATTGTTAGGATATTTAAGGTCACCATGTGCGTTAGTTTGATAATATCCCAGAGTGAGTTCATGAAGGATTATTATGCTAAACCCTGCAGGTGGATTAAATTCCAGCATAGTAAGAATGTGATGGGCGCTAGCTTCGGTGAAATAATAATAAATTAATTAATTCTTGATTGCCGGTAATCGAATTAATTAATGGACATTATATCTTAAACGTGGGGAGGTAAATCGAGTAATTATTATTGGAGTCTCAAATATAATTTGGGCTAGGAAAAGAGAATTCAATAATATAATGTTGGTGACTCATTAATGTTATTTAATTAATTAGAGGAGTGGGCTTGGGCCATAGTTGGTCTAATTAATTAAGGAATTCTATTTTTAATCTCCTAATGGTCCCTACTGTAGCTCTATATATACATCATTAAGCTCATGAGAAGAGAATCAATTTTCATTGTATCGATATACACGCCGCCTCATCATTTCTCTCTCAGTTCTCATTCGAGCTTTATCTTCTTCTTGTTGCTCCACTGATACAAGTAGAGAATGATGTTTGAGTAATACAGTAGAAGATCCATAGGTAACCGAGACCCGTTAATCTTCCACAAGCAGTCGACGATCCACGACCCGAAGGCCGCCAGCCCAGCCGGACCGACTCTGTGAGGAGCCGCGACGACCGGCGAGTAGATCGCGACCAAAGGTGCGACACGACCGACCGCGACGTGCCACCCGACAGCCCACATGACTCGACGACCCGATCGCACGTGAGCCCGGTTCATTCTGTTCGTGTGATCATCTTGTTCGTGTGCTCTGTACGGCCATCCGGAAGATCAACTAAATCGTCATAAATTTTAAGTCGTAAGTTCTCTACGTCAAACCTTTAGATCGCTGCGCATAGGCTTACGTTTGTTATTGAATTCGTGATTTGTGCATAACGAGATCTTCATAGATCCCAACACCATCCAACTATTTTTCTTACGGAGCCACCCACCTACGTGGCTCTTACGTGGCAAACATGGTATTAAAATACACCACATGTGTTATTTTTATTTTTATTTTACAGAAATAAAAAAAACAAAAACAAAACTAAAATGGAAAACGTATCTGCTTTGGGAACCAGAAGAGTTTGCCCGCGATTTGCTCCCAAATACTTCTCAGTTTCGTCGTCAGCTCAACACCGTGCGTACAATTGATTCAAAATCTTCCTCATCTTCTTAGCTTCTGTTTGATTATGAAGGGGATTATGGTTTTCCTGTTTCAATTTCGGTAAATTTCTAGGGATTTAGGAAGGTTATGCCCGATCGATGGGAGTTCTCGAATGAGTGCTTTCGGAGGGGTCACCGCGCCTCTGTCCGCCGCGACGACCGGTCGGTGTTCTCCTCATCCAATTCACCGACGACGGGGCGGGAATTAGGCGGCGGCACGGCGGAGATGTTGGGGGAGAAAACTAAAGGTACTTGTTCACACCCGAACTCCCAAAAATTGAACAGATATGGGGAAAATCTGTTGCAATACGGCATGACCTCGGACATGGAAGCGAGTCGAATGCCTGCTGCAATCGTGCAATCAGGAAGCCTCGCCTACCAGGAAGCCTGCTGCAATCGTGCAAATGGGAATTACGTCTGTTGCTTTTGGTAAATAGGCAAATTGATATGTGAAGTGAAATACTACTTATTTGTTGTGAACAAGATGTTCTCACACACAAATGATTCATCCCTTGATGAAATAAACTTTAACTTTGAGGTTTTTTCACAGAGCACAAATTTCTACAAGAACAATGACAATAAATTTAGTGTTACGAATATTCACCTGCTTTGCTGTAACNCACACTTCAAACCTTTTTCAATTTAACAGATATATCAAGCAGATAAAAAGGTCCTTGCAGGAATTGACCCATCATAAACCAAGAAATCTACAATAAAAAATCAGAAACCATATAAAACTATAAACTCCAAGAAATCTTCAATTAAAAATCAGGGATCATCATGCTACAAACTCCAGTCAAGTAGCAGAAAAAATGAAGACTTTTTCCTGTGCACAATTGGGAGTGAAAATTAATTTTTCCTCATAAAGTGAAACTTGATCTGAATTCAGAACAAGGATACATACACCTAATCAATTTCAGACATGAAATTTCCACCTGTAAAAGAAAATACAAGAAAAATGTAAAAGATTAAAGAGGTCTAGGATTGATCTGCTAGCTGCCAACAAGTGATATTTATAAAAGAAAATACAAGAAAATGTGAAAAACCAAATACATCAGATAATTCGGCAATAATCAAAATACTAAAAAGTAACAAACATAATTCAAGGTCTCCTTAAAAACAAAACCGTTCATCTAAAAAATGACATACCACTAAAATAAACATCTCAAATATCAGAGCAACCAGAATTTGTCACTTTTGACATGTCTGGACGGTATGGATCAACTTCAAGTTGAATGCTAGGATTGAGACATTTGCGCTTGTCATGGCCCCTCTGCGCACACAAACTACAAGATCGAACACCTTGAGATATAGATTTCTCTTTACTCGACTTTAGACGCTTGCCACAACCTTTAGTTCGTATAGGCTCGGGGTCTGTTGATCATGCATTCCTTGTCATCAATCTCACCAACCTCCCATTTCAAAATTTTGAGTTTCTCCATTAAAAACTTGCTTCTCGCCTCAGTCAACGATGCATCATCGATGAGCTCTCTTGTTATTTTCATCAGCGCCCCACGTATGCCTTCAAAAGATTCACCTACGTCAAAATCAAATGGCGTATCATAAATAAGGTTACTCTTTGCATTCTTCGTCCATCTTTTCTTCACATACTTTTCTGGTACTAGCATAATTTGTTCAACCCTCATTCAGCATAGAATGTGTCGACAAAGATACCCTCCAAACTCATTTTTTTTTACAGCTACACGCTATAAAATCTTCAAGGGCATCATATGTCAAAAGCCGCTGATGTTGAGTCTTCATTTCAACATCAAACCGCCAAACTTCATAAACTCGAGAATCGTTTGAACTTCAGACCATTTTGCATATATTGCTCGCACTTTCTTCGAACTCTTTTTGGAATAACAAAAATACAGACTTCATATAAATCTCAGCCATCTGCTTTTCCATAGCAAATGAGGTGTTGGTCCGCGGCTTTTCATTTAGATCAACATGACTAGCCATCAATTCTTTATGTCACTGATGCGCAATAGTCCTACTAAAACGCGTGAAAAAGTCATTCAATGAACATTTTTTGTCCAAGTATCTTTTGAAGAATGCGTGATTACTCTCAACTCTTTCGCTACTGGGCATACCTGCAGCGAAAACACCCCTTACATAAGCTGGAACCCAACAATGACGAATTTCATACATCTTTGACAACCATCCATTACCATTCAATTGGGAATCACTCATCAACGAATTCCACTTGCACTCAAACTCATTGGGAGTCTTAGACTCATTAATAATACCACTTAAAGTATGATAGTGTAACTTATGAAGAACAGGGCCGAGTTTTTCTGAAAATTTGTTCAGAATATGCCAAATACAATATCGGTGCATAGTGTTCAGAAACACCTCAACCATAGCAATTGATATAGCCTCATCCTCATCGGTGATAATAACTTGTGGATGTGGCTGGTCTGCCATTGCTTTTTATAAAATTAGAGAATAACCAAACAAATGATTCTTCTTTCTCGTCGTTGAGTAATGCACAACCAAATACAGTGGTTTGCCTATGATGATTAACACCAACAAAAGTGCAAACACCATTCCATATTCATTGGTATTATATGTGGTATTAAAGACAACTGTATTTCCAACTGCATATGAATTTATTGATTCACTATCGGCCCAGAAACATCTGGTGAAAACACCATCCTCATTTGTCTCATAAATATAATAAAAATTTTCATTCTTCTCTTTTTCCATTTCAAATTGGTGAATCAATGTTTGTGCATCATGTCCACTTAATTCTGCTTTACATGTTGCTTCTTTATTTCGGATATCCTTCACCAAACAACCCATCATAGAGGGACCACCAGAATCAATTTCAAACAATCTAACTTGTTTGCACGTGGGGATATTTGCCTCCGTGTACTCCTGGACAAGCGCTCTTTTTGTAGCTGACACACCTCTATGAGATCTCAAAAAGTGGACCTTCCTAGGAGTAGCGAGCAGATGATTGTGCTTCTCTACAAAATGCTTCACCACCCAAGTTTCATTTTTTTTCCAAACGCTCATTCGAGCTGGGCAGTTACAACGAGTCTCCCCACGTTTACGTTCCTTAGTTTCACCTCGTTTATTTCGGTACGACACATTTTTCTTCCCTTCTTTAGAGCAATCAAACATTTTTCCCACAACTGTGTCAGCTTTAGGATCTTTTTGGCTGTTTTAATTTTAGTGCTAAATCCTGCATCTTTAGCATATTCATTATAGAAATAAAGAGTTTTTTCCGCCGATTGAAATTCTTGTCCTATTAAAGGCTTGACCGACGAATCAACTTTTGGTATGAACGCTTCGTCTTGCTCAATCTCCATCCTACGTAAACAAATATACCGAATGTCATAAATAATAAAAACAAATATAAAATCATGAAAAAAAAATTATATTTGATATTCTTCGTTATGATTTCATTGTTATAATTACATGAATAAATAAAATATAAACTCAAAATTGAGATGAACTCAAAAACATTACAGAATTTCTTTTACTTGATTGGATTAAAAAAGGGTAACCTTATAAATTTTCAAATTTAAGAAGAACAAGATCAAATGTACTGTGTGAGAAGAATAACACCGTATTGTTTTCCTGAAACATGATGGGTGAGAGAAGAAGATGAACGCGGCGTCTGTGTGAGATGAAGAACAGTCTGCCGTCGGGTTCGATGAAAACAATTCATTATCTGTTCAATATCATTTATTCTATTTCTTTAGTTTTTCATTTTATTTCTGTTTTTTTATTTATGTAAAATAAAAATAAAAATAACACATGTAGTGTATTTTTATTTTTATTTTTTTTGTACAAAGAAAGAGGCCATATGTCTAGGTATTAGACTCGAGTTTGGCGGGGATAAGAAACCCCATGATATCATGCTGGAGCCATTCTCCCAGACTAGGAGGAGGAGTAGACAGCACATGACGGCCAAGGAAGACGCTAAGCTCGCCAAGTGGTCAGACGCAAAGTTTGCCTCTCTATGCACGTGTCGAAGGCAAATAGTCCACTCCCTTTGGATCATTTGGCGAATGGCCATGACGAAGGCTTCGTGAGCCCAAAAATCCCCACTGGGCCCAAGTATCATCTGTTGCACACACTGGCTATTTCCACCACAACTTTACGAAACCCCTCAGCCCATGCAAGTTGCAGCCCCTGAAAGAGACCCCACAATTCTGCTCCGGTGATGGTGCAAAAACCTATATGCATGAGAAACCCCATAGACCATCTGCCCATGTCATCACGAAGGAGCCCACCCGCACTACCAAGCCCAAAAGCCTTGTCAAATGCGCCATCCGTATTAACTTTAATCCACCCAGGATCCGGCGAGGACAAATAAATTAAACGCGACTTGAAACGTCCATTTCGGCCCCAATTTTCGCGTAAGTCTGTGAAGAGTGAGTGTAGGACCTCAAACGATTTAGCACCTCCACACGCCTCACCTCGCATCCCACGGAACTACCATTGAAGATGCGTTCATTCTGCCATGACCACGCTCGCCAAACCACAATAGAGAAAAGGCTGCTCTAGTGCGTGTATGTGCCCAACCGAGATAGTGTGAGATTATGTGTGATCCACAGTCGCAAGGGTAGCGCAAAAAAATATGCTACATGTCCCGCCGGGAGTAGCCGCCGCCATAGAGTTTTTACGAAAGGGCAGTCACGGACCACATGCAGGATGGTCTCGCGGTGGCCACAATAATCGCAGCCCTCAAAGGTGGAAAAATGCCGTCGAGCCCGCTCCACATTGGTAAGTAAACGTCCGTTGCACGCGAGCCATAAAAATTTATGAATAATATATTTATTTGACTTTGTAAATTTGGACGAAAGTTATATTTGTGAAAATTTTATTTAAAATATTTTACTNTTATTTCGAGTTCTTTATATAAATCGTTGTTTGAATCCGATTTCCGAACAGTTTAACACGACCTGTATCTTGGCTAAAACTTACTCAACATTTCGAGAAGGTGGCTGGCACTATTTATCAAATCGTTTGATTTAAAGTCATGGGGTTAATTCATGAAAATAAAGTAGCAGAAATTAAATTCTCATAGAAAAATAAAAATTGAATATGCGGGTCTTTGTCCTATCATATGATACAAACCCCGTGTCTTTTTCCTATAGATTGTGCCCCTTTTACGTGGGGTCTTTTTACGAAATTAAATTGATCCTTAATTATCCAGGTCGGCATTCCAAACGTAACACGAATTTGGATATAATATAACTACTTCTTTTCCTTTTTTATAATATAAATTATGACATGAGCTGTGAAATCAAAATTTAAAGGTCAGGTCCCCACCTGGAAAAATTATATTAAAAAATGAAAAAACAGAGTCTTGTTTTTTGTTATAAAATTGGGTGTCTATAATAAAAGGGCTCTTTTGGATGTTAATGTAGAAACTGACCCAATGCAGAGGGGGCCCTGCAAAAGTTTCTATTATTAGAAAATAAAAGTTTTGCATGAGTGGACTCTTTTGCCCTAAATAATTTGGCAATCTGAATCACATATATAGAATAACATCTGTTATCCTTATGTGTTAAACCTGAGATGATTATGAAATGAGTAGTCCAAATTATAATACCATATCCTTTAATGCACATTTTTTAGTAAGTCTGTTTAATCGTTAGGTAAATCAACTTGTGATACTTTTTCAATAAAAATAAATATAAAAAATGTATATTGATGATATGAAATATTAAGAAAAATATAT